AAGACCTTACACACCTTTGTTGCAACCCGATAGCCTCCTATCACTTTGACGAAAGTGTTTTCCTCACATTAGGATATTTATACTTGTTTACTTAGTGTTATAATCACTAGTTATATATATATATATATATATATATATATATATATATATATATATATATACATTTGTCTTCATATGTTATTAGGATCATTGTGTGTGTCTAAGTCTTCACTTGACACCAAGCACTTGTCCGACACTTCCATCCAAACCACTCACAAAGGTGAGTTCATACCCCCTTAATCAATATTTTAAATGTTTTTAAATGCTTTTATGGGGGGGGATACAAGTTGAATCATGCTAGTTATTATATGAATCACGTGTCATTAATAAGTAGCATACAAATGGATTTACTACTCTTTTAGTTGTTTTACCAGACAGGTTACTTCAAATGGCTTTCCAAAATGTTTTTACTTGTTTAAAAACTCTTTATCAAACTGCCTTACATACTGAAGGTTTCTTTTCTATCTCTGTTACCATTGTGTTTCAAACAAAGGTTTCTTATACTTAAAACTATTCTTATCAAACAAACTTCTTTCAAATCGTTTTACAAACTGACATCAAGTCATCCTTTCATAGTTATTAAACTTTTCAAAGGTTTTACTAAACTTCTTTTACATTTTTATATTGTCAATTGCCTGCTTGTATATGTATAGTTATATAAGTAATGTTTAAAGGACTTAGGAAGGGCTCGCTTTATCTCATTTTCCACGTTGGGATGTGGCTTTAGGGCATCGGTTATCCATCTGAAGTTCGTCTAAATATTAGTTATATATTATGTATACATATATAGACATAAAACTTTTATCAGTTAATTCAATACCCTTGGGTAGCAAGGGTATACGTTCATGTTCATACGTACAAATCATATTAGTAGTAAACTACGATAGCCGTAGGTTAGTAAGTTACTAATACTATTACTAGAACAAAGAATCATACAATGAGTCAGTTCATTCATGAGTCAATACTTCCTAGATAGATAGAACACACAATACAACTAGTACACACAGTACATTTCAGTACTTGCTAGATAGAGGGAACACACAATACAACTAGTACATACAGTAGATTTCAATACTTGCTAGATAGAGAGAGAACACAGAATACAACTAGTACACGTAGAACATTACAATACATAAAGGCTAGACAGAGGGAGAACATACATTACAGCTAGCACATTCATTTCATATACAGTTTTGCAGTAATGTGACCCACATTCCGGGGCATGGCACTACCTTCCATGGCCATTCATGTATCCAGAATCTCCTTAATTGGGGAGCGGATGAGTTTGCGTATATATATACTGGATTGACTATCCTACACCTTGCTCCTAGATATAGTGAGAATTAATTGTCTATGGGTGCCAAATGTAATTTTTCTCCGACATTGTACATTATCGCGTTCTAGAGTCGGTAGCAGGATATAGGCCGATCACATGTTACTTTAAATTACATTTGGTTTAAGGTAGTTAGTACATTAGTATTTACTTATTACAATACTACAACACTATAATATTTTTCCCATTACATTCACTTCGTGAACATCCACACGATGCACAGTAATGTAAAAACTATATTTTTGGTTAATGATAGTCGGATTTGGGAAAATACACACCCTTACAAGAGACACTCACAGATACTAGATGACTTGGTAGTACGCTACTTTTAGTAGGAAACATAGGGTTTTGTAGGAGGTTCAACACTTTTACATACTTACACTTCACATACTTACAAATACTTTCTTAAAAATTCAGACACTAAAATACTTATGATCTCACCAACTTTAAAGCTGATACTCTCTTTCAAAATAACTTGTATCCTCAAGTCAACAGTAGAAAGGTACCGATGCAAGGTTTAGAGAAGATGGATCTCGTTCAAGACTCATCTTTCATTTTGATTTATACTTTAGTGTCTATTAAACATGTCAGAACACACTTGTATTAAAATTATATTATTAATGCAATGGATGATGTTGTTGCTTGTTTACTACTATTCATTGTTGTGATACTGTACATGACGTTCTCCGCCGCAGAACGTTTCCGCCGTTCCTGGTTTTGGGGTGTGACATCTTACACCTACCTATTACCGCATTAAGATTCAATATCATATGTTGGAATAATATATGTTGATTCAATCACTTCTCTTTGTTCGTAAGCTACTTGAACTTGGAACAAATGATTAATTGACAATAGACTATCTTAATTATGACATCAAAAAAATTCGTACAATCCAATTTCAATTATCATTACCAAAGATCATCATATGAAGCATAAAACAACAATTAAAATTAATTAGAATCAAGTAATAATCATGTGTGTTCATCAAAAAGTCATAAACATCTACGAAGGTAACATGATGATTAGCCTTCCATTGAATTCATAAAAACACTAACTTGGAAGAAATAAATAAAATGCATAATAGAATTCATAAAAAAACATATGATCATCCAAAAATTGTAGCCTAATGATTATTAAAATACAAAAAAATAAACCATGGGGGAAAGAGTATTCGTTTTTGAAAATTACTAGAATTGATGAGAATCACCGGTTGAATTACGTTCAAATGTTGCTTGATGATGAATTGAATCGAATCTTGCCTTAAATCCGGATTGAAATGGAATCGATTTTTGTTTCCAAATGTTTCCAAGGGTTTAGAAGCCTCAAAAACACAAGAAAAGGCTCTAAAAATAGAAGGGTGGAACCCTTAAAGCGAATACACAAGTCCCTATTTATATTATTTGGCAGAAAATAGGGAAACTGGGCGATGTGGGATGTTGGATGTCCCAGGAAACATCTTATATGTCATGTATAACGCCTAGGCTCTCTTTGTATGTATTTACATGCCTTCTGATGTCCTTGAATTACACTAAAAATTGGTCAAAAAACGTTGGATGTCATAGGGGACGTCTTAGACGCGTTCTAGGACATCCTTGATTTCTAAACTTTCTGAAACATGTCGTTCCAACATGGGATGCCCCTAAAATTCCAGGATGTCCTTAGGGACGTCTTAGACGCCAAGTAAGACGTTGATGGTGTACTCCCTTTTCTTTTTCTTCTCCAAGGTTTGCCCAGACGCTGACAATTTGACTTAGACGTCCTAGGGGACATTGTAGATGCCAGGAGGCATCCTTCATCTTTCATGCAAGTTTTGGTGGTCAAAATGATATAATTAGTAGAAATACAAACCATGAAAGTTGTTAAAAATCTTGTCTAGTTTCCATAAATTCCTTACTCATGTCAATCGGAGCACCATGACTTGAGATATGACCAAAATATTGAAGGATGGTCAGTTTTCCCAGCAACGTTTCTTCATTCCTTTAACAATTCGTTTTACTTGCAGGTTCCGCCGACTTTTAGTATAATATATTGACCTGCATATGAAGTTCAACAACTCATCAAAGTAGTGCAATTATTGGACAATTATACATCAATTCAACATATTTATGAAAATTTTGTACATTCATGAAATAGACATATCAACCTCCCAAACTTTATTCCAACCACGTCCCGAGATTGGCCAGAAATAATCAGTGTAGGCTTAGTCTCATGCTAAGAAAAAGTCAATGGAATCATGAATTTCTTACATTTTGTCACAATACTTTCAATAAGCACAATATATTGATTTCGGGGATTATTAGTTGCTTATCCGGTCTTTTTAACTCAAAATAAATGCTATGCTTAATTTACTTTGTTGTTTGAAACCCTCCACATTTTGAATCCTTTCCAATAATCAACCACATGAGTAATCAGTTGAAGTCATTTCCAAAGTTTCGTTTTCAAGGTTCACTAACATAGTTAGCGCATTTAGTAACACTTAATGGACCAACCCATACACTCCCACTATCGAAGGGTGACATATTGTTTCACACAATGTCTTCAACTTGAACGTTTCTTCATATTCGTCATGATCGTGCATTCTTCAAGTTCTTTGATGGATTCATCGGATTTGATCATCTTTGTATTTGACTTGAGCTTGAATATAGATACTTGGATGTTATTTAATGTCTTTTGATACTTTTTGGTTGTGTAAAAACAATAATAGTCCCCTGTGGCTTCATCAGATTTGATCATCCCACCCAAGTTCTTTAATGGATTCATCGAATTTGATCATCTCACCAAAATTCATTGTGCGGGAGGCTGTGGAGGATATCGTGGGTATGGTGGAGGATACACAAAGATCGATCTAGCTAAATCATCAAAGCAAGTAGAGTCCTTTGTAGTTGGTGGTGGCTGATAATGCTCATACTCAGATGGTAGTGGATAGTTGCTCGGATCCCCAGATGGGTAGAAAGCGGGAGCTGGAGATCGATATCGATATTGTGGCTGATCAATGTCATCAGTTCATACTGGAAACGACTATGTCTGTAGGCGGCATCTGCATAGTACTCCTGCTGGTAAAGCTGAGGAGTAACAACACTATAAGTGTTGTCAGCTGTAATATCGATCCGTCGTATATGCTCGGTAAGATCAGCTAGTTTCGTGTCGACTCCTTCGATCCATAGATTTGATCTCCCCATGAAAGTCTACACCTACTGGTTATGCGTGTTTTTCCTCCATACAAAGTCATCCCATGTTGCTTTCATGTTCCATCCCCGACCTTCTGCATATCCCTGTTGCTGCTGTTGATCACCCTAAAAATCACCAACGAATAGCTCCTTATCCGCCACTCTGAGTGGTGCCGTGTATGTTAGATTCGTGGCAGAATCCCTCAAAGTATGACTCTAATTTTGAACATGAAATGAGATGTGTCTAAAAGAAGTAGTAGTGCGGCGAAGGATATGCCAGTATGATGTAACTCGTGGGACCCTGATCCTATTCCCCAACTCGTTACTTACATAAGTGGATATCAGAGCGACACGGGGGTGGAGACTCCGTTCTGGATATCAAAATAGGACCATATGTTGCACATAACTATATATGCATAAGAGATAAATATGGAGCTTATCATTAATCCATACAATACATATCAGTCCTGTGTCCTCACTGCCCTGGGATCACTATTCCTCGAGTTCACATTTTCCGTGATAATGTTATGCAATGCCTTTGCTATAGGCATTGATTCACGGAGCCTTTCGTATGCCCTCTTCCCCTCACGGAATATTGTGCGGTATACTTCTGCCATGATAATACTAGGGTTACCCCCTCATTTAAATACATCTATAATCAGTCGACTGATTCTCAAGATCATGTAGATGATATCCAGTATCCACATGGAACATGTCCTGAATACCCTACACAGGCATCACTATATCATGAGTACGAACCATACAAATCAGTGGCAACTATTTCGTCCTACCAGAAACCTCGATACATCAAAGTGTCCTCATCTATTCCTGCAATATATCAACATAAATCTACGTGGAATTAAAGTCCAGCGCTCCACCCCATCCATATCGATCATACGTCTCCATAATATTATACCTAGTAAAGCTCGGTCGATCCACCATGTACTCCACAATAAATCCCGTGAGCGGGTGAGTGGCCTCATAAACTACCGGACGGATATCATCTGGATGCTCATGAAGTGTCTGATATTGTGGGTTAAAAGCCACTGGTACATTTGGTTCTGACTTTCTGATTGGTTGTCTCGCAATTTGCCTAGCTGCACTGCTCGATGATGCTAACATTGATCTCTTTACTGACATCTGGAAAATCAATCACACATAAAACCACAAAAAAAAGTTGCCATTAAACATCCAAGTGTCACAAAGATAAAACAATAGATTAGTTGGCATGCTATTCCCAACATAGTTATCTAAACGTAGTCTGAATAAATTTTAAGTCCTGTTATGTTTTTCAGTAACTAAATATTTTTCAACAATTTATCCAATCAGTAAAAACACAGCTAAACCAAAGGTTAACTGCAACTGTGAAATTCTAATTAAAATTAGAACAAAACTATAACAGATAAATATTCAGACTAACAATGAAATGTCAAAATTCAGTGTCATTCTGAAAATTTCCAAAAACATGAATTTTTAATCTAAGCACAAGTGTAATCGTAGCAATGATTTTCCAACATTATATTTGCATTTTTATTTTTAACACTTAACAACAAAAATCATTTTTTTCAAAATATTCCCAAATCAACACATGCAACTTGTGTGGAACATACTACTAACAACTAGAAACATCAGTATATAGATTTCATACCATTATATGTTATATATCCAAGAAAATTTCAAAATTTCTACCATTTATGAACATACAAGAGAAATTTCAAAATTAGCTTAAAATATAGAATTTTGAAGGACATACCTTGTTGAAATGGTGTTTCTATTAAAGAGGAATCACTAACTTGAAGCAAAAAACAGAAAAATAAATAAAATTTTTGAAACCCTAATTTTTGTGGGTTTTGAAATCTGCCCCAAATAAGTGATTAGAGTGTGTAAATATTGCAATGTGATATTTCTTACTTAATTTTTTGAATATTTCAACAAAAATCAAGAGTTTTGATTGAGATTTGAGGAAGAAATAAAAACAAATCGATTTTTAGAACGAGTTTTCGGCCATGGCAGTGAAATAAGAAGAAGACTGTACAAGGTGCCGCAAACCAACTCTAAAACGCATCAAAAACGGTGAAAACGTGTCGGCATCTTAGATGCATCAAAGGACATCTTAAGCATTAAGGGCATTTTGGTAATTTCGCATGGGATTTCGTCGGAGGAAAAAAAAATGGTAGCCCGCCGGCGTCTTAGATGACGTCTTAGACGTCTCCTAGGATGCATGAAGCTTCTATATATATATATATATATATATATATATATATATATATATATATATATATATATATATATATATATATATATATATATATATGATGTTTTTAACGTTTCTGACTGTGCGGGAACGTTTTTTGTGTATTTTTTGAGAAATTTTTTAATTTTAATGAAAAGTTAAATACCCCCTCCCCAACTTTAAACCTTAGATCGCCCTTGATACAAAGAAAAATTAAGACACACAAAACGAAGAGTTAAAAGTAAAAACACCCCAACACGCAGGTTGCCTCCCAAAAAGTGCTAAGTTTTACGTCTTCAGCCGGACTGTTTACCTCGACTAAATTGTTTCTGAATATGGTACCTCGAGCGTTGTTTTCTCAACAAGTGTCGTTTCTCCATCTACCATTCGAATGTATGGTTTGAGTCTTTGTCCGTTTACCTTGAATGGTTCAGCGCCTTTCGTGTCTTTGATTCAATGGAACCGTAATCCGCCACGTTTTTCACCACAAAGGTTCACTCCATTTACTCCGAAGCTTTCCGGAAAAGAGTCCGAGACGAGAGTTGAATAGCCACACCAATTGTCCTTCAATGAATTGTTTTCAGACAATATATCGGTTATGAAATGACTTTGTCTTTTCTTTATAGATCTTTGAGCTTTTGTAAGCTTCTTTTCGAATCTCTTCCAATTCAACAAGTTGGAGTTTTCTTTTCGTACCTGCATCACTTAATTCAAAGTTAGCCTTTTTATGGCCCACATGGCACGATGTTCCAACTCCACCGAGAGATGGCATGGCTTTCCATAAACAAGCTCATATGAGGACATTCCAATGGGTATTTTATAGGCTGTGTTATATGCCCATAATGCGTCATCTAATGTTAATGACCAATTTTTTCAGTCGGGATGAACAGTCTTTTCCATGATGCATTTAATTTCCCTACTTGACACGTCTACTTGTCCACTTGTTTGTGGGTGATATGAAGTAGCAATCATACGTGTGACAAGATAGTGTTTTAGTAACATTGCGAAACGCCAATTTTTAAAATGGGAACCCTAATCACTAATAATAGTTCGAGGGATTCCGTGTCTAGAAAACATGTTCTTTTTGACAAATTTACAAACAACACTATGATCATTTGTGTGTGTAGCCTCGGTTTCGACCCATTTTGATACATAATCAATGGCTACAAGAATGCATACATTGCCAAAAGATGTAGGGAATGAACCCATTAAATCAACTCCCCATACAGTGTAAATTTCAACTACTAAAATTGGGGTCATTGGCATCATCTCCCGTTGTGAGATCCCCTAACTTTCTAGCAACAAGTACAAGTTTTATTGAATATATGTGCACCTTTAAAAAAAAGAGGGCCAAAAAAACCGCTTTTTAGAACCTGATGCCCTGTCTTTTGGCACTAAAATGCCCTCCACATGCATATAAGTGGGAACGTCGAAGAATGTCTTCTTGTTCCTTGTGTGGTACGCATCGCCTAATCACTTCATCTGCTCCAATTTTGAAAACATACGGGTCCTCCCATATGTATTATTTTGTTTGAGTGGAAGAACCTCCTTTGTTGAGCAGTCCAATATGATGGAGTTTCCCCTGTTACAAAGTAATTCACTAAATTAGAAAACCATGTTATAGTTTTGACAGTAAGAATATGCTCATCCGGAAAGTTTTCTTGAATAACTTTGGGTGAGTTGTCATTATTAATTATTCTAAATAAATGATCTGCCACAACATTTTCGAAACCCTTTTTGTCCTGGATTTTAAGATCAAATTCTTGAAGAAGAAGGATCCATCTAATTAGACGTGGTTTGGCATCAATCTTTTCCAAGAGGTGGCGAATGGTACTATGGTCGGTGAAAATTACAACTTTAGTTCCCCAAATGTAGGATCTAAATTTGTCTAAGGCAAACACGACTGCAAGCAACTCTTTTTTGGTAGTAGTATAATGCAACTAAGCATCCGAAAAGGGTTTTTTATTCACCCGTTGTCCCAAAACTGCCCCTACCGCGTAATCACTTGCATCGCACATAATTTCGAAAGGTAAAGTCCAATGATGTCAATATAAGATAGGGGCTTCAACAAGTTTATTCTTTAGTGTGGTAAAAGCTTCAAGACATGCTTTATCAAAAGAAAATGGTGAATATTTTAAAAGTAAATTGTAAAGAGGTTTTGAGATCGCACTAAAATCCTTGATAAATCTTCGATAAAAGTCGGGATGTCCAAGAAAAGAATGGACATCTTTTACCGAAGTGGATGGGGGAAGAGTAGAAATAATTTGTACTTTGGCCCAGTCGAGTTCAAAACCACGCTCGGAGACAACATGGCTAAGTATAATTCCCTCTTTTACAATGAAATGACTCTTCTCCCAACTTAAAACCAAATTAGACTCAATACAACATTCTAAAACTTTTTCTAATTGGTCTAAGCATGTCTCAAAGGAGGATCCAAAAAATGAAAAATCATCCATGAAAATTTATAATGATTCCCCAACCATGTCTAAAAGAATAGCCATAATACATCTTTGCAATGTGGCGGGGGGCATTACACAAGCCGAATGACATCGGAAAGCAAAAGTGCCATAGGAACACGTGGATATGGTTTTGGATTGATCCTCGAGGTGGATGACAATTCGATTATACCTCGAGTATCCATCCAAAAAAACAATAAACTTTTCCCGGAAATTTTTTCAATAATTTGATCAATAAAAGGGGGAGGGAAATGATCCTTTGATGTTGCAGCATTGAGTTTGCGATAGTCGATGCAATCTCTTCATCCGGTGAGTGGTCTTGTTGAAAACTTCTCTCCATCTTCTGTATCTACCACTGTAATACTCGACATCTTTGGCACTATCTGTGTCAGGCTCACCCAATCACTATTAGATATCGGGTAGATAATAACCACAACAAGCCATTTCAACACTTCCTTTTTAACAACTTCTCACAGATTCAGATTGAGCCTTCGTTGTGCATCTTAGAATGGTTTTTCTCCAGCTTCAGTGATGATTCAGTGCATACATGTGGTTGGACTAATCCCCTTCAAGTATGCTATGGTTCATCTAATTACTCCTTGGTACTTGGGAAGCACCTTCAGTAATGCTTCCTCCCAAGGACCTATCAAATCAGAAGATTTGATAATTGGTAAGTTCTTTTTAGATCCTTAAAGAGAGTATTTATGATGTGAAGGAAGAGTTTTAAGTTCAAGAGTGGGTCGATCCTCCAAAGATGGCTTAAGTGGGTCCGAAAAACATGTTGGTATTTTTTCAACTTGATGACTCCATGGCGACCTCTCTTTTTCAATAACATTTTCAAATGCTTCCTCAACCATCTTGATGTCTTCCAAGTCTAACACTTCGTCTCCATCATTAGAAAGAAAAAACTCCAATGGATTGGAGTATAAGTTTTTGGGAGTGAATTGACGCACTAAGTCGTCAACCTCATCCACTCGATAACATTAATAATCCGATGGTGAGTTAGGAAATGTATTAAATACATTAATTCTAAGTTTTCTACTTCCAAAAGAGATATCCATGGCACCTATTCTACAATTAATTTGCGCCTTTATTTTTACCAAAAATAGGCGACCCAAAATAATAGAAGGTTGACTTTCTTTATACGTGCTTTCAATGTCAAGCACGAGAAAATCAATTGGGTAATATAAATCTTCTACCTTAATCATGACATATGATAGTATACCCTAGGGAAATTTTGTTGACATATCGACCAATCATAAAATAATATTAGTTTGTTCCAAAGTGCGTAAGTCATGTTGATCAAAAAGATTTCCCGGGATTATATTAACACTAGCTCCAAGATCAAGGAGCGCCTTTTTGATATTAGTTTTAGCTAGGGTAATTGAAATTAAACATGCTCCGGGATCCTTAAGCTTGGGTGGAAGTTTATTTGGTATTATGGAACTGAAATGCTTGGTTAAATCAATCTTTTTATCGAGGTGTGCTTGGAGTTTGCGTTTTTGAACACACAAATCCTTCTAAATTTTAGCATAAGAAGGTACATCCTTAATAAGTTTGACTGACATGATATTTATTTTAACTTGACTAAATAGATCCCACATGTCTTCAATTTTTGGCCCTCGCTTCCAAAAAGGAAAGGATGCTAGTTTCTCTAAAGCCGAAGGGTATGGTGCGGTATTAACCTCCACACCATGCACCCCAACTTTAGAGTCATTTTTACCCTTAGCTACTTTTTTTTTTTCATATCTGAAACCTTTCTCAAACTCTTCTTTCTCATCAAAGATGACTTTAATGTCAGTGTCATTATCTAAGGTAGGAGCACTTACCTTGTTGTCAACCTTTTTCCCACTACCCAAGGTGACTACCTCGTTCACTTGATGGTCTTTACCCAGTCTTTGGTTGTGGGACGGGTTAACTCTGGTGGTACACGGAAACATGCCAACTTCTCTTTTCCTAATTTGTTACCAAAGTTGAGCAATTTGCTTCTCGATAGCAGGTATGGACTTGGAGTTAGTGTCGGTTTTCTGATATGTTTGGGGTATGAACTCATGGAATTTTTCCAATTTGTTGCCATCAGTTTCCTCCTTTGATGTTCCACCTTGGTTAAAGTTGGACTGCTGGAACTGTTTTGGTTGATTTTGGTTTTAGTAATTCCCTTGACGATTGTTGTTGTTAAAGTTCCCATTGTTGTTGTAGTTATCGCCCTATTGTAGTTCCGATTGAATGATCGTTGACTATTTTGGAATTGACCATAGTCGTGCACTTGATTAATTTCGTATTGACTTCTCATTCACTCATCTGCAATGTGTCCTGAATCTCCACAACGTACACATATCTTTTGTCCCTGTGAAAAAAAAAACACACCTTTCTCTTTTCCTAGACTAGAGAGTAATAAGTAAAAGTTTTTTATTTAAAGAATTAATATCATATTTGACTTCATTTTTCTAGTTTTTCTCTAGTCCAACTGAAGTAGCAGATAAAACTGGGGTGTCCTGTTTCTTGGTTGAGTAATTGGTTTTTGACCATGACTCAACTGCTCGAAGAATCGCCAAGCATCTTCACTATCTTGCATCATGATAGTGCCACCAGACGAGGCATTAATCATAGTTTGATTGGAAGTGTCAAATCCATCATAAAAGAAACGTATAAGTTGCCAACGAGGAAATTCATAATGGGGACATGAACGCAACAATTCCTTTAGGTGTTCAAATGCATCATGAAATTCTTCATTAGGTTTTTGTGCAAAATCTTGTATCGCTTTTCTTATTTACGTTGTTTTACTAGCAAGATAAAAGTCTAGAAATAATTTAGTTTTTAATTGCTCCCAAGTAGTAATACTATGAGGGCAAGAGAAGTGAACCAATACTTAGCTTTTTCTTTTAAAGTGAATGAAAATAAGTGAAGTCTAAAGTAATTTCTATTAGTTCCTCGTGGAGTATTCGCGTTAGCAATTGCAAGGAACACATAAAGGTGATTATATGGCTCATTGGTTTTATGACCTCTAAAAATAGGCAAGACACTAATTAATTGTGGCCTTACCTCCACATGGTGCTCATTTCCTTCTGTGAAGAGTACAATGAACCATCATCATACTCTCCTGAATGAAAATGAGATGCCATGGATTGTCTATTAGGTTGCGGAAAGTAAAGATGATGGAATTGATTACCTTCGTTGTAGTATCCTCCATTTGCATTGTGGAATCCACCATTTGGATTCCTTCGGTATTGATTCCCAAAGCCTTGATTTTTGAACCCATCATTGTGGTGATTATTGCCACCATTGTGGAAATTCTGGTTCTTCCAGTTATTGTAATTTCTGTTTCCACCCCGATTGCCTTGATTCCGCCTATTACCACTGTTGTGGTTTTGATTCCAACCAATTCCATTGTCACTTCCATCATCAAAATCTTATTCATCCTCATTACTACCATTACCACCATTATCGAATTGAAGACCAACATTTCTAGGATTTTGGTTATGATTTCTAACATTACCACAGTTGTGGTTTCCTACATTGCCTCTCGTATTTTGTGTCCAATTTCCTCTGCTTCCACCATTTCGGCCATGATTGTTTCAATTCGGTTGTGGTTGTACTGGTTGAATGATTTGTGCACCAGCATTGTTGTTGTTCCTGATGTTTCCATTTTCTTCATTTTTTTGTTTGGTAATTAAGGAGGTAGTGGTGGAACTAGTGGTAGAGGATTGTTGACTGCCTCCTCATGCCCCTCGACCACATCTTCCATGAAAAAATTATCTACACTTATAGTGTTGATGTTCCTTCTGGCGACTAGATTTGCACGAGTTGTTCATTGGATTTCTGGATCAAATGCAAGCAGTGAAGAGTGTCTGCTATATCTTGTATGCATGCAATGGTGTGCCTGCACAACACAAATAAAACAAATGTGAACTGCAAACAAGAATTAAAAATGAAAATAAAAAACTATGACTACTTAAACATAATAGTTCAAGCGCACAGTCTCCCTGTTAACAATGTCAAATTTTGATCGAGTTCGTTTGGTCAAAAATAAACCAACTAACCTAAGTAAATAGGGTAAGTCGGTTTGAATCCATAAGGAGATCATGGTTAAACTTTGTGTCAAAATAATCAATAAAAATAAATGTATTACTAGCAATTGTCACGAAAAAAGATTAAAGAAAATCAAACAAAAGCTTGGAAATTGATTAATTGAAATTTAGAATCTCAATGAGAAAACTAGAGTACTCCTGGTTCAGTTATGGACAGTTTAATTCACACACTTTCTTCCCTAGAATCCTAATTCAATTACATAGATGCAATTGAGATTTATTAACTTGTAACACATAGTTTTGGGCACACGATATGTTTATTCAACTAGTTGTTTTACTCCTTATATCTAAATGGATTTGGAACAATTAGTGAACTAGCAATAAAATGTCGTACAACTACCTATTACAGCATTTAGAATCAATATCAAAAGTTGGAATAATATATGTTTATTCAATCACTTGTCTTTGTTCCTACACTAATTGAACTTGGAGTAAATGATGAATTGACAATAGACTATCTTAATTATGACATCAAATAAATTCATACAATCCAATTTCAATTATCTTAACCAAAGATCATCACATGAAGCATAAAACAACAATTGAAATTAATTAGAATCAAGTAGTAATCAAGTGTGTTCATCCAAAAGTCAGAAACATCCCCAGAAGTAACCTAAAGATTAGCCTTCCAGTGAATTCATAAAAGCACTAATTTGGATGAAATAAAAAATGCATAATAGAATTCATAAACAAATATAAAATCATCCAACAATTTTAGCCTAATGGTCATCTAAATACGAAACAAATAAACCTTGGGAAGAAGTAACCGTTTCTGAAATTTACTAGAATTGATGAGAATCATTGGTTGAATGATCTTCAAATGTTGTGTAACATTCCGAGAATTTGCAGGTATTTCCAAACCCTCTCTACTATCATTATTTGGTTATTTGTATTCCTTCGGGTAAGAAGTGCAGAGCCAAGATAAGTTTAAGGGCCAAGGTTGCAACCTTGGACCAGGAAGAACTACGTCGAGTGTACATAAGAGTACACTAAGCGTACTATGGTCCGCCTTAGTACGCTGGGCGTACTTATGTCAGGATGAAACCCTAATATTTAGGGTTTGGGAGCTATATAAGCAACCTTATGAACTTATAACCCTCCCTTACCTCAGCCCTCACTGTATAGAGCCCTTTTCCCCAAATCCTAGCCATTTCCTTGAGTGTGTGAGATTATAGAGTGCATTTTGAGTGTTTTGAGAAAAAGGTGTTGCATCAAGGAGTTGGAGAAGAAGATCATGCATGTAGATCTGAAGTTGGTTGGTGCCCTAGAAGCTCCAGAAGGTAGAAAGCTTCAAATTTTATACACGTATTTTATAGATCTTGATATTTTGGCTTTAAGGAGCCATTTCTTGTCCTAAAAGTCCCAAGTGGGTGCATGATGTGTTATGGATGAAATAAACTATCCTTCTGGACTCTTGAACAAGTTTTGAGTGAGAAAAATTAGGTCCCAATAGCTTAAGATGTCCCATGTATGGAGCAGGATGGTCTTAATGGATTTGGACCAACTATTAAGAGCTTTTTGGAAGTCCAAAGTTATAAAGTTCGTGACTTTATTGGTCCTAGGCACATTTGGTCACTGGATTTTAAGTTTGGGCTTAGGTGCTTAAGCCATTAAATCGCTACGTTTGCCAAGCGTAAACCAAATATGCCCAGCGTACTGGGTGAACCACCCCGATGGTTGTCAGCATCAGGATGAGTATGCCCAACGTACCAGAGGAGTACGCCCCACGTACGTCCACTGTTGGGGTTTTTGTCAATTGGGCTTCCGGATTGGGTTGTTTATGGCCTAGTTTGACCACCCCGATGGTTGTCAGCATTAGGACGAGTATGCCCAACATACCAAAGGAGTACGCCCCACGTACATCCTCTGTTGGGGTTTTTGTCAATTGGGCTTCCGAATTGGGTTGTTTATGGCCTAGTTGGACTTGGTCCTTTGTTGGATTTATGAATACGATGTTTTGGGCCACTTTTCAATATGGTTATTGGAATGAGGCCCAATTAGAGAGTTAGGCCCAATATGGTAAATTGGGCCAACAATGGGTCGTGCATATGTAGAGTTCTGGATCATGGATTTGGTATTCGGCCTTGGCCTAAATTTGTGAAAAGGAAAAATTGACTATATGGATCCCTTAGTCAAGATTGATAGCCCATATGTTGACTTAGCATTTTTTGTTTTGGATAGTTTGGGATTATTGGCGGGATAGTGATTCATGAAAGTGGTTATTCAGTTTTGGATTTGACATTGCGATGTGAGTTTTCCTCACTATACTCAAGGGTCTAAGGCACAAAGGCAAGAATTTTGGATTGTTATTTGCATATGTTATGCTAGTATGATCTGTTAGATCGGTATCCTGGTAGATAGGATGGTATTATGTATTACGTGGCTATAATCTGTTAGATTGGTTTGTTTGTCTAAAGACTGTTATGTGATTATCTATTATATGTGCACATGTTTGTTTGGCGGTTGAGGCTTATTAGCTTTGTGCGAAAGCCAATAGACCTGGGAATTCCAACCTGTTGGTTGTGGGCCGTGATGAACATTCTTGTGAATCCAATCTCAAATCAAGGAAGGATTTTCAAAAGAAATTTTAAATGGTTTTCAAAATAAGTGAAGGAGGATGCAGGGTGTACGATCAGCCGGAGCCAATAAGTAGACCCCAAAATACCATACGGTTATTTGATATTGTGATATGTTAGAAAAACATGCTACTACTAGGCTAGGGATATTCAGGAATTGCATGACATAATTGCCTTATTACATGATGCCTGCTAGCCTAGGGTTTTCCTTATATGAGATTGATATCATTACTATAGTTTCTTGTGTATGCATCACGACCGTACATAATTAAGATCTTATGGCCTGAGAATGTTTGGCTTGGCCTTATGTTCTATTCTTGTTTCATTTGGGGCTTAGGGTAGGATCATATATTCGAAAGTTTATAGGGTCCAACGTTATGTATGGCTTGGTCAGTTGTGTGAGGCTGGTAGGTTAGTTGTGAGATAGTTAACCTTCCTCTAGAGTGAGGTTGAGCGACTACCATGTATATGTATATTATTAGGGTGTTGTGGTAATACTTGAGACAAATATGGGAAGGTATGGAAGGTAGTATGGACCCATACTACTGAAATCACATAACCCATACGCGTTGCAAGGAAGTCACAACCCCTAGAGTTTAGTTCGGAGTTGGTTCCTAGTTATTTATGTGGATTATCGGATATCTTCCTATTATATTTTTAGTATGGTGGTTACGAGGCGTTTTGTGACTTGATCCAGATCTAGATCAGGGTAGGGCGATAAAGAGGCCCTGACAGCGCCCGAGTTTATTGGCCAGGGTGGGCCAGTGTTAACAGAGGATCGTGTCAGGGAGATCATCCGTAAGGAGGTGGTAGACATTATCCGGGGTTAGATTCCAGAGATGTTTGGGTCTATCAAGACCGCTATGATGGAGTATTTCGTTGATAGATATGCAACCCACATTGAGACGGCTGCCGTAGTAGCTACAGTGGCTGTAAACGCGACAGGGGAGGAGCTGGTTGAGTTTTTCAGTACCAGGACTTCGATAACATGAAGCCCTCAAATTTCTATGGTACTCGTCATCCAATGATAGTCATGAGGTGGTTGTCTGACATGGAGGGATTCTTTTTCTCGTGCTCATGTCCTACTGACAAGAAGGTCAGGTGTGCCCTGAACTTGTTGAGGACTGGGGAAAAGGATTGGTGGAGATTGGTGACTGCATCATATACGGATGACCAGAAAGCTACTATTACTTGGGAGCAGTTCAGGGATGTGTTCCGCGCTTGCTACATTGCCCAGATCAAGCGCGAGTAGTTGTCAAAAGGGTTCTTAGATGTGAGACAGGGTATGTAGTCGTTGACGGAGATCACCCGCATGTTTACTGAGAGGGAGATGCTTTTCCTTAAGTTTGCCTCGGAGCAGGCTGAGATGACACCTTATCTAAGCATGCTCAAGACTGTCATCTGTGAGTTTGTTGCCACCCATCGATGTGATACACTGTTGGAGATTGAGCTGCAGTTGAGGGAGTAGCAACGGGCCCCGACAAAGTCACAACTAGCACTGAAGCGGTCTATGACCAATGATACCGAGACTGGGGGACAGCCAGGCTGCACTTTTGGGAAGTACAGAAAGGCACATTCAGGGATTTTCCGATCAGAGAGTGGGTGCCATCGATGTGGCAAGTAGGGCCATCTGGCTATGGATTGCAGGTAGCAAACTCTGACTCCCGGAGTCAGACTTTGTTATCCTTATGAGCAGGTGGGCCATATGAAGTCCCAATGTCCCCTACTAGCCGCCACGTCTGCGCAGGATCCAGTGTCGGCTACACTGAGGATTCCGAATGGGAGTCCAGGTAGAGCAA